AACTGTTGAACTTCTCGCGACAATATAGTAATTGAATTGCTAACGATTGACGGATATATCAATTCACTTATTGATAATCTATCATTCGTACACATCATATAGACATTTGCCATATCACCTTCCTGTTTGTACAACAATTATAGTTAATTAATTTTTAATTTAATATAGGATTTATAATAGGTGTCCAGTATATACACCCTTTATATTTAATACATTACATTATGATTAATTTTTGCCATAATTCCAGTCCAACTGCCATTTGCTAACAAAATACCCCCAACTTCTTGTTTAGGTGATAAAAATTTTATGCTTTTCATGGAAAACATATGATGGTGATAATTTAAATGCGGTATGATTATATTTATAATTATCTTTATATTTACCTGCATTTTATATAATTATATATCAAGTCAATTATTTCTGCGTTGATATTACATACTTTATAAAAACCTGTGCTTATTTGCCAAACCTATTAATATAAATGTCATTTAATAAACATAAAAGTAAACGACCCATATAAATTATTTACGTAATTTTTTAAAATTATAAGTCTAATAGTACAGTCGATATCATTAATTACTTGTTGTAGACCATTAAGATTTTTCAAATACATACAGGACTTTCCATTCATAATGACGAACACGTTAAAATGCAAAATGTCTATAAATAGTTATATAATTACTAAAATACAACCAAATAATGTATTATTAAATGTAATACTATCTAATTAATTTAGTATTAATTCAGAAATAACATTAACTTAATAAAAACCAATGTCCACTGTAATGTTATAAATGCCCTAATGCTAAAATTTAATACAGTATGTCTTGTATAATCAGGAGAGAATAATTCATAGATAATCAATGATTATTAATACAACTCAAACAGAATAAATAATGTTTCAGACAGCTTCAATTCAGACAATACATATCATACAGTATACTTACAAGTTAGTACACTTTTGATTATATTTCACTTGAATATGGATTAAATTTATTAACAATTTCTCTACATTTACAACATTAATGTGATGTTTTCCGTAATTTTGCTAATTACCATTTTTAGTATAATATTTAATGATAAAACATTTAATTTTATTGGCCTTTTATAAATATACCATTTATGTTGTTAATTATTAATAAATTATTAATAATAATGTTATCCATTAATTTATAATTCCAAAAATTCCTATGTTATGGGAGGGAATTTATAGGGATATTACGTAAAATAAAATGTGTAACAGAGAAATGGATAAAATGAGGAAAATATTTTTAATAATTTTGTTTATTTTTATTATTAATTAGAGATAAATTGTTTCAAAAGTACAAAAAATATCAGAAATGCTTTTTTTAAACAGAGAGTGAATGAATCTTATAAAGTATTTTATTGATAACAAAGACATTTATATAGGATTATGTCACCATTTAGCGCAATTTTAAATGTTGATTGAAAAATAGATTAAATTAATTTATTAGATTTAACCAAATCTTCATCACTATTATGTTTAATCATGTTAGGGTACATGTAATAAATAAGATAAAAGTATTTATATTCAGCAATTAGTCATCGTTGACTACATTGACTACATTTTTGTTTTATTCTTCATTTTTAAAAGATATAAATAATTTCTCGGGAATATATTTTTAAAAATAGAAAATGGCTAACATTAATTATTAATTTATTATATAGATTAATTAATTGTTTATGTTGAAATTATTACTGTCGTCTGTTAGTTATCATAATAAATTCTAGGTCATATTGTGTAATAAATCAATAATTTTATTAAAAAATAATAATTACAAAATTATTAAATTATTTATGTTATTCTTATTAATGTAATGATTTTAAAATGATAAAAATTATATCTTGTATTGTCCCCTACTCAAAATAATCTCTAACTAGAAACATAATCAATGGCAAATTTGTTTATATTTCCTAAGTAACTGATATTGATTTATCTAAAAATTAGACATAATTTAATTTTAAATATTAGATTTTATTTAGGTAGAATTAAATTACATGAAAATAATTAAATTAATGAATTGTATTTAACAAAACAAATTATCATGAATTGTGCGATCAGTACTGGAAATAATTACTTCACTTTCATTCACCACTAATCTGTTTGCAAAGTTAGACATCGATTCGGTTAATATGAATTCAAATACAAATACAATGATTGCAATCAATAAACCCATAGACAAGATATAGTTAATAACTTGAATGTCAATTAGATTTAATGCCCGAATTGTGTCTACATTTAGCGGCGAATCTATTTCGGAGCCACTCTTGAGCTCTCTCATTGCTACCGCTTTGGCAATCATTTTATTAACCCTCGTTTGCCATAATAATAGTCCCGTCTCTTTCATTATGATAAACCTATGATACAATTAAACAATAAATGCATATTGGTTTTTAGTTATAAGTTATAACTTAAAACATTCATTAACGTGTTAGATTTAATACATGTGTTTAAATTGGTATTTAATCCACGGGTTAAACTGTTTGCGGACTAATACGCCGCCAATGGCTAGCATTAGGTTTTCATTGGATTTATGCAGCGGTAGAGTTGGGTAGAGATAAATGATCTCATTTATCAACGACTCGTACGATATAAACACTGATTTTCCGTTTATTATGGGCAGTATATGTGTCTTCCATTGTATATCGTATTGATTGCTATTAATATATTTTAAATTCGGATACTTTGTCTAAAAATAATAATGATTTTTATATTACAAATTAGACTTGTTTATAACAAATAACAATTAGTTATTATAAATATGTTTACCTTCAATAAATGGTTGTATGCAAAACTGGTTTTGTCTACCATTATCGTTAAGTCGGTATTGTTTGCGTCGATAATGTCCTGAAGACTATTAATTCCCGACAACGGAATGATCGCCAGATTTGACAATATATTACTCATAAATAATTGGTCCCAAAAGAGACAATTTATGAGCCATAAGGCAAACACTATACTCGCAAATGATCCAGATCGTATGTATTTGCTTATTATTGCTAACAATGAGAGTATTTTATTAGTATTTTATTCTAGACAAAATAAAATAGTTTAATTTATAATTTTAATTAACGTAATTTATAAATTAAAAAAAGCAACATACAACTTCCGTTAAGCACCAATAAATGATCGAGTAATACGTGTAAAATGATCTCGACCAATTTTACATTCTTATATTTATTTATAGCTTTCAAACCAATAATCGTTACGGATATTATACATGTGAACATAATTAATAGCCATGTTGATGGGGAGAACAAGGTAAACATGGCAAATTTATTAGAACTGTGTACTACAGTGGATAAAATAGTGACAACATTGCCGATTGTATTTGGATAAACAACCTCGCTAATTGATAATCTGTTGGGTGTGTAACCCATGAACGCGCCCGACATATCTGTTTTCTGTTTTGCATTTAATGAGATTAATTTAACTAGCTTGAAAATAAATAAAGTACGTGTATTTTAAGTTTCAATTGCTTACATTATTATAAATGTGTCCCATAGTACCTACCCAACTACCATTTGGCATAAAATCGCCTTTTGCATTTGGATCTTGCTCAATAAACTCGATGCTTATTTATTAAAGATACATAATTTTATTAATATTGTAAAGCTAAAGCTAAAGCTTTATATTATTATAGTCTAACGTAGGATATTTACAAATTAATAAATACTGTATTTCATACTTGCATTTAAGATATTTAAACAGCAATTTGATTATTACAGAGAATTCATCACAGATTTCATAGAGACGGACATTTATTTGACGGACCTTTAAATCAATGCATGAATTAATTGATATTTTATAATACAATAAATATTATAGTGTAGATTACCCTGGAACTATCCATAGAAATTCTAATATTACAAGTTTTATTACTTGACCATGATGTTTGTCTTAATACTCGTTGATTAGTATATTGGACACAGTCTTGAATTACCATATTTAAATCTCTTATAGAATTTTCATTGAAGCAAATGTTGCAAAATAAAAAATAGAAATTGGTAATTAAAATGACTAATGTTTTTTGCTTCCAAAGTATCGATTTATATGAGAATTAGATAATATTAATAATAGTGTTTTGCATACGATAAACAATAGATATTTATCATTGATTATCCATTATTAACATAGATCTATTAATTATGTTTTGTCTTTCCTAAATTAAATGTAATTAAATGTTAATTTTTATTGTTATTTTCCATTTAATGCATACATTTAACATTTTGTGCTATTTATTTTATATAAAACTAGGTTATCCCAATAATAATGGGTTTTGGATTATTTGGAATAAAAGTAATTTATACAGTGCAACTTCCCTATAAGAAACGGCCAGTATCACCACAAAAGTATTTTATGGCTATTAATCTAGATTACTTTTAAATGAATCAGTATTTTATACGTAAAGTTACGGTAAATGAAACAACCAATTTTATAAACAAACGTATGTTACAGTTTGCAGAGTTAAAAATAAATAAATTCAACAATTATTACAATCCCGGATAATATTTGGCCAAATAATAGCCAATAGAAAAATGTGTTAATTTCGACGAGTTTTATCCCATGAAAATTTTCGAATTCAATGTCCACGTGTTCAGTATCAAAATTAATTTCCATCTTATATAAAATATTATTAGTTCTAGCAATAATTTGGTTTATTATTTGTCGCCACATTAATAAACCTGTCTCAACCATTATGATAAATTTAATTTATAATAAAACAAACATGATTATTTATACCAAAACAATATTAGATTATTGTTTATTCATTTAAACTACTTTTGCTTCAATCGTTGTTTAATCCATGGATTAATACCCTTACGGACCAAAAAAACCGCCGATTATTAACATTCTATTTTCAGTGGACTTATGGAGGGATAGACTCGGGTTTAATGTAATGATGTCATCGATTTGATTTTCTTCGGCTATCAATACCGATTTACCATCGTGTATAGAGTTTAGTAAACCGAGCGTGTACAAATTAATGTTATCAATAAACTTGTAATTTAATTGAGAATAATTGTCTTAGATGCACAATCATTTGAATAACATTTTCATGGTTAAGATTAAAACATATCAAATTATATTTTGCAACAGTAGTACCTTGAGAAATCCCTGGTAACCATAGCCATTATACCAAGTTAAAACATTTAACTCTTTTTTATGTCCGGTGTCCACAATGTCTTGCAATGAGTTTATGGTAAACACCGGACTGTTGATGACCAAGAAAAACATAGATAAAGCTCTTTGTCTGGCGTTGAAAACAACAACAAAATAATACAAATAATAATAATCCCATTTT